TGGTGTGGGTGCCTTGCAGTGGGGGGGGGGGTGAGAGTTACTGGGATTTTTGGAAGAATTACGCGAATAAAATTAGTTCACACGTTTTAGTCCCATGTTAAAAAGGACATTTAAATATACTAGAGGCATGGTTCTATCACATTTACGACTAAGTACCTCTTAAACTGTCACACATATAATTTAAAATTCTTGTTGCTACTTTTGAAACATCACCGAGTCCAAATTACTCACCTAAAATACACCATGACCGCATGAACGAGGTTAGCGTAATCAGTGTATTGCTAACAAACTATTAGGTGAGCGAGGACCCCAATTATTAGGTACCCCGCTTGTGCCTGATTTAATTTACCAATTAAGTACCCCGCGTGTGCCTGACTTCATTTATCGTTTACTTGCGATATAGTAACAAGGATTTCTACTTTAATTCCCACCATTAATGTTAATATTTGCAGCAATGTCTTACAGTCCTGATTTGTGGGGGTGCCATGAAAATGTTACTGTAATTAAGACAAAACAGACAATAAACCAGTGATTCGTGTACAAATAATTTCCTTTATATTGCTCATTGTTTTCAACTGATGAATGAGATGTAAGCTTTCAGTGCACTTTTTATTTCATTATTAATGTGCTTTGCACTAATGGGTGACAAACGCACAAAAAACAAAAGTTTCATTCGGGCCAAAGGTCACGAAAAAAAAAAAAAGTAACCTCTTACCTTTACAAAATGTTACTTCGACTGTGTGATGCCGATTTTGTCCAGTCAAATCTCCTTTTAACTTTGGAGTAAATTTGACCCCATTCAATATTTTACAGAATTTAATGGAGACAATTTGACAAACTAAATGCAGTTAATTAAAAGGCAGTTAATTAACACTTGGATATATTTTTGACTGTCCTGCGCACAATAGTGTTGCACACATGGGTGCTATTTCAGGTCAGTTTGGACCAAGGGTGTTTTTAGCTGACATTAAAAAAAAAATAAATTACACTTCAGGCTATTGAGGTAGTCAACAAACAAACATGCAACGTGACTGACACGCGAGAAACATAATTCTTGTTGAAATTGCTCATTTCAAATTGGGCTGAGTGGTCATGATGGAGGCAGACAATAACAGAAGAGCACAAACTAAAAAAATGCCATCATGCTCACTTACGATTACACAAGTTCGATTTCCCAGTTGCCGCCATCGAAAGGTAAACTACATGCAAAAATAAATTCGCTCGCTCTAAAGCAAACAAAAACACTACATTCAAACCAAAAAAAAAAAACAAACAAAAATCAAGGTTTATGGTTTGGATGTAGTAAAGTGGCATTATACCAATTCTGATTTTTCTTTTCTTTCTTTTTTTAAACCAAGCCTCCATAATTCGCTGAATTTCAACTAAAAATATTACTGTGGCGCCATCTTGGTGTTGAAGTAGACAAAATTAGTGCTTCAAGCACTAACCTTGTGGTGTCTTAATGTCAAGGACCTGTGTTGAAATGAATTGAGGAATTTAATCAAAAGTCATGCTTTGCTGCTATCTATTTTGCAGTTTCATTTAGACAACAGTTGAGCTTTGTTGCTGTCTTCATGTTAAGAAATTGTTAAAGTGGTGTCTTGGTGACAACGAAAATATGTACGAGTTGAGGAAGCTCATTTGGATAAAAATAGCACTTTGCCGTAATCTTGTGGCACCTGTTAGCAGTCGTGAGCCTTTTTGGGCCTGCGGATGTTGGCTATTTGGCGGCGGAGGGCTGCTTTTTTTCCCATGGCGGATAGCGAATGTCATCAGCTGCTCTTCAGTCTCTTGGCGTGGAGAACAACAGCGGTGTCATGCTCTTGGCCGAAGTCGCCGTCGCTTGTCCGTTTCTGCCTGAGCTCCCGTCGCTCTCGTCTCTCTTCCATTTCCTCCAGATCCTCGGCGAACAGTGTTTTGAGTGCCGGGATTAGAGCCGGGAGGACCTTCAAGTCTCCCAGGCGCACCTGACGCACACAAGGACCTCTCGATTGGATCGATATCATTATTACAGTGAACCCCCGTTGATGATGGGGGCACCCACCCATGACAGTTGAAAGTCGTATCGCAAGACAATGTCAGCGCGCAAGCGGTCGCCTTACCCGCATGTGGTCGAAGGAGATCCCCACTCGCTCGGTGAAGTCGTGGCTGAAGAGCGGGATCTTGGCGTAGCGCTGGCTGAAATGATTCAGCATGATGAAGTCGGCCTGCATCCTCATGCCCACGTCGATCGCCTGCGATGTCGTGCTATCGAGGAAAAAAAAACACAAAACAAAACACTAAAATAGGTACATCTGCAAAAATATTATCCAATTAAAATACTTCTTTGAGCTGATTAATAATAATAATAGTACATTTAATTTATAAACGCCTTTCAAGACACTTTACAACCAAAACAAGAACAATAAAACCACAGATAAAATTATAAATAATAAAAGGAGAGATGAATTTAAACTGAATATATTTCCTGCCATTTTTGCTCCAGAAACCCAGTATGTTTCAAATACAAAGCGAAGAATACATTGAAATGAAACCGTCATTATTTAACTACCAAAGCCAGAGCATCAGAGGGATGAGAGAGTGTGATGTCATCGTGGGAAATTGTAGCCAATAGCAGGATCGCTGTATCAAAGGCTATGTTTACACATTTGGGAATCCCTTCGAAGTGTGCATCTTGATGTTATTTTGTCTATTGGGTTGTTAGACTGTCACTGGATGTTTTTTTTTTTGTTTGTTTTTTGTTTTGGTGACGACAGTGTGATGTTTTTTCCGACCTGTGCCGTTTGTCCACTGCTTCCTCCTCCAAGCCGTCCTCCAGCGTGGCCTCGTGGATCAGCAGGGTGGCCTTCTTCCCTGGAAGCCAAAAACAAAATGGCGGTGAAAATGATGGGAGAGGTGCAAAAGAATATCAATCAGTCTCCGTCTCGGCTTCTTGCTGCCATGTCATTGACGAGGAGACCTCAAGGGGAGGGGATGGGATCGTCTTCCATTAATAGGAGGAGTGTTGTTTACGTTTGGGTGGTGCGAATTGACTCACCCATGCGCACCAGGGCGTCGCATGGCATGGTGTCGCCGGAGAAGGCCAACTTCCAGCCCGACTGGTGAGTCAGGCTGCAGGCGAAGGCGTTCTTGCAGTGACGAACTGTGCACGTCTCAAACTGACAATACAATCAAATTCAGGTGTTACAGCGGTCAACGGCAGTGTTTAAAGAAAAGAAACACGTCACAAATGATGATTTTTTAAAAAAGAATTAAGACAGGTCGGGCTTTTTTTGAAGGATAAAGTGGCAAATTATTTTTGGGGGGGAGCTGCAAGTAAAAACAGCAGCCGTTTACAATAAAGACTCAGATTTTTTTCTTCCTCACAAAAATCTGATTGTAAGCCTTTTTATTCCTCTTTGCTTAAAGAAAATGCAAATGATACTCAAATTAAGTTTTGCTGTTTTTTTTAGCATTCTGGGGAAACAGAAATAATTGCAATTCTATTTTTTGGGACATGTAAATCTTTTGTCGAATTGTGTATGAAGACACAATTCTTAATTTAGAAACATTTGAAACAATTTTACATCATCAACTGAGTCATCAAACTGGCTCGGCTGGTCCAAAGAGTATTTGTTCAACTCTTTGTGTTTGATTTTTTGTTTTCAAAGTTGTAACCTTTTCCAAGGCGTTGTCCTTCAGTAACGCCCGGATCAACGCTTGCGTCCTCGGCTTGGGAGTGTCAGCATTGCGGCGTAGGACGTCGTTTGGAATGAAGCTGAAAGAGATGAGAAGTAAGACCACAGTCAGGGAAATTGAGCTTTCTATAATGTGAGTAAACGACAGGTGCCAGGGTACTTCTGCGTGGTAGATGGGGACTGATGACCGCCGAGGTCTTCTGGCCCCGCAAAAATATTGCATGTCGCCGTGGTTGAAAATGTCTACAGGCAAAGCTACGCTAACGTCACACTTACTTGATGTGATGGAGGATCTCCTCGCAGCCGTCGTGATACTGCCGCAGCCAGCTCAACATGTCCCGGGGAGCCAGCAGCAACACGGGACTCCAGGCCTTACCTAGTGTCGCCTAAGGCACCACCAGGGGGCGCCATCATACAAATGGCAATATGCATAGTCACAAAAAAGAAAAATCAAAGAATTTGTATAGCAGGTTAATATGGTTGCCCAAAAAAAGTAACATGAAATATTCAAAGTTTTTTTTTTTGTTTTGGACGTACCAGGGCACGTTGTCTTTGATACAGCAGCTTGACCAGGCCCTGACAACCAGGCAAAACCAAATGTTTGTTCATGTTGTTTTTTTTTTTTTTCTCCATGACGTGCGTTGGAGCCACCTCACCGTGTGATGGTCGGCGTGCATGTGCGACACAAAAACGGCCGAGATGTGGGACAGAACCTCGTCCACGCCGTCGCCGTAGTGTCTGCACAGCTGACCGAAGGTCCCCTCGCCGCAATCCAAAAGCAGCGAACGGCCCGCGCTAAACAGGAAAAACGATTTTTTTCTCCTGCCATGTTGATGCTACAACTCGCGTTATAAAGGGCCACGACAATCCCAGTATATTTCCAGAATTTTTCCAATCAATATCCACGTGATGAAAACAAGATCGTGTAATGCCCTCACACGCGGGCAAGGAGAAACGTTTATTTGGACGAACAGTCAATATGCAAGCAGAATGCGTATTAGCGTCACTTTTTCAGCTTGTGTGTTCGTTCCCACCAACCTGATGTTGACTAAAGTGCTGCTGACGTTTCGAATTTTCATGGGCAGGGCCGATCCAGTTCCCAGAAAAACAAACTCGGGATATTCTGCTTGTCCTACACCAACACACAAAAAAGATAAAAATACAATTTCAATACAATAAGACAATTAAAAAAAACTAACCGTGTGAAAAAATATCTTTGAAATAGTTTGACCCCTCCCACGTTAAAACCTATTTAACACACAAAAATTTAATGAGTAACACATTTTAGAGACTTGGATTCTCCCTCGCTTGCACAGTTAAGAGTCAAAAGTATGTTTTTGTCACACCCAGTTGTAGTTTAGTGAAGAAGTGACCCATAAAACAATAGACACTGTCTATTGTTTAGACCAAAATGTCAACCAAACATCATAAAAGGTCAGCTAGCTTAATGCTAGCATTTGATCCAAAACACCACAGACAGGCGAACAGAAGTCATCATTGACATTCTGGTATAAACCTTGAAATAAGTGCAACTTTGATACCACAGCAACACATTCAACAAAAGAGAATAAAAAACTGTATATTCAAACAACAAACTGCAGCTAATTCTTCTTCTTACTG